GTACTTATTAAATCTGCTTACTACATGTGGCAAAATTCGTGCCCTTCGTTAGTTTTCTCCCTAATACTAGAGATTTATTTCGCATTTTGAATTCAATAAACAAAATTGACCACCATTATTTATTTATTTCAAATGGCAGGCATTTTGATAGTTATCATTAGCCCTTTAGTGGACTTCGGGCTTCACAGAAGGGAGGAACATTAAAGTGAGAAAAATTCGACAGGGGGAAAGAAGAGCGACAGACAGACAGACACAAAATGCAGAGAAAAAGCTAGATGAATACTGTGGAAGGGGTCGAATATGACATAGAGTGGGGTAATGGTAGTTTGAAGTCAGAAGTCAACTGCCGATTAATAGACTTTTTTGCCGTATGAGTATACGTTGCCCAGGGTGCACCACGTGGAGGTAAGTCTATCGCACACCCCAAATTAACCACCATTATAGACCTTAAGAATTAGCCAAAAAATGTTGGGAAAATTTTTTGGGGTGTGACATTATAAACTACCCATTCTGCAGATGGCGTATAGCTTACCGCTTAAGAATAAATCAATACGTTGGGTGTAACATTAATTCGAATCAATATTATTACTTAAAATCATTTTACATTCTATTTTGAGGCACAATTACTTTACAGTGCATATAGCAGAAATTTGTTTAAACCGAAGAGCTCGTTGAAGAACACAGCAAACCTGTTCATGCTTAGTTAGGCCTATTTAATTTTGTTGGGAAATTAATAAAAAGATAATGCAATTTAAAAATATAGATTTTTTATTTTTGCGGCTGCAATTTATAAAATTCTAAATCATCCCTCAAATCGCTTTTAATTGTTTTATTGTTTTTTCTTTGTTTTTTTTTGGCCAGATATATAACAAGTGATTCGCGTGACAAGAACGATGTTTTCGCTTCTCAATGGACTTTCTACTCATCTCCAGACAAATCCCCTCTAAATTCCGTTACCTCAGATAGCAGTGATAATTATGGAGTTTGTGCATAATTTAATTCTTCTCTTAAATTAATTAAAGCCTACAATCGCCATTTCAATTTAAGCGCTTGAAGTACTTAAATAGAAAGAAAAATTTCCCTTTTTATTAAGATTAGAAGATTAGGCATCAAATAGGAAGTCAACTCAAATGAATGTGAAACAGAAAAAAAATCAATAAGATTTTCCTATTTCATATTATTTTACTGTTTATGATACACACCTCTTTTATTTGCCGATATTAGTATTTACCAACAGTTGCTATGGGTATTAGGATAAATCCTAATAAATATTTATTTATTTATTTCGAATGGCAGGCATTTTGATAGTTATCATTAGCCCTTAACTGATTTCGAACTTCACAGAGGGGAGAAACATCAAAGTTCAAGAGGATGGACCGAAGAGTGATTTGAAGATGTAAAAGAGACAGGCACAATGATAGAGAGTTGGATAAGATGAATACTGTAGAAGTGGTCGACTATGCTATGCAGTGAGGTCGTGGTAGTTTGAAGTCAGAAGTCAACTGCCGGTTAATAGACTTTTTTGCCGTATGAGTATACGTTGCCCAGGGTGCACCACGTGGAGGTAAGTCTATCGCGCACCCCGTGATAAGGAATATATAATATATATTAATGTAAGACAAAAGATTTGATTAATTTTTCAACCTTCGTTTGCTGATAGGCGGCGATAAATTAGCAACTGAACGTGGGAATAAGACCTGTTATTTTAATTTATGTACTTGCCCTAATTCGACCAATGAGCTTCATGCTTAGTTAGCTTTACATCGTTATTAGAAGGAAAATGAGCAATGAGATGTGTGTGACCAAATTTCTCTCTTAATTAGTCTGTCAACACGTTCTCAATGTAGCGAATACTAACGTCTCTTCCAGAGGTCTAATGAACTTATTTTAAGACACACGTTTATAACTCCATGAACAATAGCCATTTAAGAGCGAGCAATTAAAATTAAGAAAGAATCGAAGTTCAGTAATAATTCCTAACTATTATTTTGATTTGATCATTATTCACCTCCCCCCACCCCACTTCACCCTTATAGACCTACACTGTAGTTTGCAATTTATCGCCCTCAATGACTAGAATTGTCTTTTTTACTTTGTCAAAGAACATAGAAATAATAATCAAACAAAATATTTAGCTGTTTGCCAGTGAATTGCAATCACCACTAATGCAAACTGTCGAATTGGCTTTTCGATTGCCAACTCCACACCATCATACGTTTTGAGCACTCAGAAGAAAAACCCTTTTGTGAAAGTGCATATCAAATGGGAGCGTTGCTTTCCGAAGAGCAATATATTTGTCACCGACTGTAACATTAAAATATATCTAGAACTTTCAAGCAAAATCTTAATGAATGTTCAAGGCCACATAAAAGACTTTCCATATATTTGTTTGGAAGCAATTAACTCAGTTAACTTTACCATATACAGTTCAAATAAGTTTCCCAAATGAAAAAGGCATCACTTTGAAGTCAACAACCAATTCTTTTCGTTTTCTGAATATGGTGGCAGGACATAAGCAATATATAAGGTTGTGCAAGAAGGCTAGTAAAGACACTCCACACAACAGACAGCTTGGTGGCATTTGGATAATATGAAGTCGAAGAGACACGAAATGAAATTCAGCTTTGCATCAAGCTGGAGCTAAATCACCTATCGGAAAATACCCACATCAAATGCACTTGTGCATGCGACATGCCACAACTCACAGAATGTTCAACACCGTGATTTAGCTAATCGATTTAAATTTAACCCCCTCTCATCAACATACAATAGTAGCAAAAATGCTCCACTAAATTGTCATGCTTTCTTCCGCTATCTTCTGACTTAGTTGAGTTATGTTGGGGTGTGCGATAGGCTTGCCTCCACGTGGCGCACCCTGGGCAAAGTATTATCATAAGGCAAAAAAGCCTATAAACTGGCAGTTGACTTCTGACCTCAAACCACAATGGCCCCACTGTTTGCCATATTCCTCCACTTCCACAGTACTCACCTCTCTTTTGTCTCTGCCTTTATTTCTGTCTCTTTTACATCTTTGAATCTCTATTCTGCTCCCCCTCTCGAATTTTCCTAACTTTGTTGTTCCTCCCCTCTGTGAAGCCCGAAGTCAGCTAAAGGGCTAATGAAAATTATCAAAACGCCTGCCATTTCACATAAATAAATTTGAGTTATGTGAAGTGCGCAAGGTACTACTTAACGTTTATGTTATACTTCAACAATTTTAGTAGAATAGAAATTAAAACACACCTCATTTCACAAGATTAATTAAAAGCACAAAAGAAACTAAATTTACAAGAAATAAAGAATATATTCTCTCATCGGAAAACGCGGAATTTCTTTCGTCCACTGGGCTGGGGCTAAAAGATAGATAGAGTTTTTGATAGATATTCAAGAAACAAATCAGTCATAAAATAATCGCATGATTACAGCAACTGTCAAATGTTTTGCAGTAGTTGCTCGTCTGAACAAATCACGCAAAACTAGTCAACCCATCTCAACATATCCTAATTCTACTTACTTAACACTGGTCAGATTACCCACCCTTCCAAGTAACAATACCTCTGCATAAACCTCCGCTCTTTCCCTTCCACTCAAGTCAACTTGTTCAATAGAAATAGAGTTCGTAAATCTTAGTCTTCTTAATTCAATAAGGTAAATACACCACAGGAGAACCATAATTTTGCAGCTCCTAAACAGCCACAATATGACTAATAAGGTAGCTCATTACTAAACAAATCCACTTTGAAGAAAACAGTTTAGTCGCGTAACGCTAATTCTTACAATCCTCCGCGATCGTTCAATATACGATTAGTCCGACTCAATCCATATTCTGCCGATTTTATGAAGGCCTATTGCATTCTGTTGGCCCTTACTAATATTAAATTTAAAGGTAACAAATCTAAGCCTAACTCCGTCAGACTATAAAAGTATATTCACCCAGGATAAAGTCTACTGATCTATCGTTTTGAAATAGAGTAGCTCAATGTGTGATTTAAGGGTAACGGAATAAGTGTCACTTTAAAACTCACAGGATGTTCAGCGGCATGTCTTCCAAGAATCAGTTCAAGCACTTCCTGCTCCCTTCGACTAACTTCAGCAGCAGCCGCTGCAGCAGTAACAGAACTGGATGTGGTAGAAAGCGAAGAGGAAGGAAGGACAGCATTCACGATTGCGGCAGCTGAAACTGAGGAGTTATTGTTGTTGACGTTAAAACGACCACCATCGACAATGCTCGACGACGCTGTGTCATCGTCGATTTCAGCCGCACCGCTGGCTGTGGCACGATCTGAAGAGGAATGACCACCAGTATGCCAGGAAATTGCTCGACGAGGACGCAACTTCTGCTTTATGACCTGAAGGAAAAGAATATAAGGAAGTGTGTAATCGAAAACATTGCTAGAAAGGAAAATTAATCAATCTTATGTCATTTAAGCTCTTAACGTGTTAACCTTAAGGTCTTCTGAATATATGCGTGTAGTCACCAAAAACTTCACAAGAGACTCCAGAGTAGAGAGCACTAACGTGATTAACGAAAATAGGAGGGGAACCAAATTTACGTAATATCGTTAACATCACCAAAATAGCAGTGAGAATGAATTGTCCTCCGTAACAAAAAAGAGCAAAGGAGAGGTAATTAGGAGGGATGAAGGTGGGGTGGGGGGAGGGGGGATGCGATCGGAGTGATGAATAAAATTTACAAATTGAAGATTTAACCACTCTTAAACTAAACCTAGAAGAGCGTGCTTTGAACTAACTCTTCTCCGAAAAGAATTTACTTTGAAAAAATATCATGAAAAATAAGGAGCGAGATTGTTTGACTCACTTCTTTGATAAGTTGCCTCCGAATGCGCATCTTAACTTCAAGAACAAAGTCCAGCCAAGTCCAAAGACGATTATGATACTCCAGCATTGGAATGTTTAACTCAAAGTTTGTCACATCAGCAAGGTTCTTCTGCTTATCTCCCTGTAACGATAAAGATAACAAGTAAATTCAATGCTGGACAATTATTAACCACCGGGGAATGAGACTGCAAACAAAATAGACACCATTCCAATTATGGAAATAGCATAAATAAAAAAGTAATAGTGGCTGCATACAAGTAAATAAAAATGCAAATGCGTAGTACGTTTACGCTAAGGCTTCAGTTAAAATGGATACATGATAATTATGAAGAGGCACAGATGGCAACGGAGAAGTAAAATTACGAACTTCAGATTAAGGGAAATTTTTACTGATAAGAATTCGGAATAATTTAAATATAATCATTCTGATATTTTCAACGTTAAGAATTTTGGCCTCCCTTCACGCATTAAAAGAAATATAAAAGATCGCTCTTAAGTAAAGTGAAGTAAAAGCCGAAGGTAACAGCAAATATCGATTTAACATTTATTAATTAATCGAATTAGCCTTGAGCAGCATTTAAAAAAATGTGAACAGGTAAGTCAGATGGCCAGCCTGACCTGAAATGTCAAGCGTGGTGAGCAATCCACATGAAAAACTCCGATGTGATTCCCCATACGTTGCCAAATTACTTCATTTTTGTGCTTTGCTAAATATGTAGTGACGTCATAGATCCAAACACTCACCTGCTGCAGTTAAATTGATGTATTTATTCCAAATGGCAGGCGTTATGATAGGTATCATTAGCCCTTTAGTTGACTTCGGGCTTCACAGAAAGGAAGAGGAACATCAAAGTGGCAAAAAGTCGAGAAGGGGACAGAATAATGATTCACAGACGTAAAAGAGACAGACAGACGCAAAGGTAGAAAAAAGGTGAGGTGAGTACTGCGACAATAGTCGAATATGGCATAGAGTGAGGTGATGGTAGTTTGAAGTCAGAAGTCTTTTTGCCGTATGAGTATACGTTGCCCAGGGTGCACCACGTGGAGGTAAGTCTATCGCACACCCCAGTTAGATGAATGTTTGATGATATTTTTATTTCATAACCATACCCGCTTACTATGAAGACATTTGCTCCCTGCCCTCCTTCAACCCTATTAGACGCAGGAAAATACAAGTAAATCTTTCAGTTTAAGAAAACCACAGTGAAGTCAATCGAAGTCAAGGTAACAAAAAATGAGGAAAGCTGATTAAGATAAGCAAGAAGCTCAGTAATGTTAAGAACGCCTAGAGCAAAACCTTGATGGAAATACTGAGGAAACAGATGATTACTAACCGACAGTGGTAAAGACTTCAAGATCATAGTACTAAGTTAAAATGAAATCAAAGCTCTTTGCAATAAACAAAAGATGAAAAAAGAGTTTCGCATGCACTTTTGTGATTAAGGAACTCGGGTCAATAAAAAGATTCAACTTCGACCTAAAGAAGTCGAACGAGTGGGGGAAATAGCAACAAATTAGGGAGATTCCAGAGTTACTTTTTCATTCTAAAGCAGTAGTTTGCCCATTTAATGATCAAACGTCCAACTTAACAAAGTGATTAATTGGGTCAATAGATTGTATGCACAAACTTGAAACCAAAAGAACAAATCCCGAAATTCAAAATTTCGACAATCAGTAAAAAAGAAGAGACGAATAACATTCCATAAATAGCGCACATCCAAATACATCTAGAATTCAAATGAATTAAGGGCATTGACGCTTCACCACTTTGCGCCGCTTTTATTTTAAAAAATTAACATTGCACCTATCACTTTCAAATACATTTAGTAAATATGAACGAGTTCCAAGAACACATACGTACCTTATAGCTCAAGCGAATAGGGAAACCTGGAATTTTGATGTATAGAAAAACATGATTCCTACGGGCCCGCTCCTAAAAATGACAAACATAAGCAAATTCATAAATTGAGAATTTGATTGAAAGGAGCAAAACCAACTCTCATGACATCAAGAGGAAGCAAAGGTACTGCAGGATCAGGACTTGATCTAAGTGAGCCACCAGGATCGCTAAAAGAACAACGGAACTTTTCACCAATTGTAATATATTTACTGGATGTGTAAATCCAAAAGTGAGCTCACGGTTCCACAGGCATATTTGATTCGGAGGTTATTTCCTCCACATGACTTTCTTCAGCAACTGTCTTGAGTCGTGGTTGCTGTTGTTGGGGTTGGAATTGCTGCTGTTGTAGACCTCGATTGGTGCTACCTCTAAATCGGCCACTCCAGGATTTCGGGTCGAAACGGGAAATGAGTTTCCCGGTGTATCGATTGCGCTTCTTAGTTTTGGTTTCGGCAACCTCCACTGTTAAATCCTCTGATGATGCAGCGAGATCGGTACTAGCTGGTTCGAGGTTTTCAACGTGCTCTGCTGAAATAGAGGCTACCGCGTCTTCATTTCCGCGTTCGGGGAAGAAATATGGCATCAGGAGATTGTAGAAGGGTTTACTAACCTGAAAAAATGAAACCTTATTGAAAGGTTGTAAAAAGCACAATCAATCTATTAACATTAAAAATCGATCAATATATTTTGTTCAAGTCCGAGCTCAACATTCGGTATTATGATTAGGAAAGGCTGTTTTCTATTAGTCGTTCAACGAAAACATTGTATAGGTGATGCATGAAATAATGAGAGAAAAATATATGGGATTCGGAGTATAAAAAAGATGGAAAGAATCAAACGCATGTCCTCAACGTTAAAGATACTCCGTCAAATTTTGGAAAAGGGCACATATAGCTTAGGGCTGAAATTGCTCTAGAAAACATGTTAACCATTACCGAATGAGCATGTCAGCAGTGACTTCCAGATAATCGAATTCTAAATGAGATAAAACTGGACTCGACCGATCCACTACATGGTTAGCTAAATACTTGCAACACTGCAGGCAAAGACGCGATCTAAATCAGCTCAGTGTTTAAGTTCCATAACGAACAAGGACTATTCAATTGGCATTTATTACACCATCGACATTACCATCGACCTTAAGTGTAACGTGAGTTGGTATTCGAGAAACTGTTGAAAAGAAGCGAAAAAACACCTTCTTCTAAGAAACGAAGATATAAAACTTCATAGTCAACAATCCCCCTCACTAAAATTATATCCTTAAACTAAAAAAAAACAAAATTTTCGAATTGTATAATAATAATGACCTCAAAAAAAGGAACCATCGATTGCATATAGAAGCAGAATATAGTTCACGAAAATAAAAATAAAAAATAACACCCCAATTTCCTGAAATATTGGGAGGAACACACCTGAAGAATAAGAGGCGCAACACTAACTTCCATGACTTCTATAACGGAGATTCCTCCAACAGGTGGTCTCTCTGTACATGCAAGACGAATCATCGGTCCTCCCGTATGGTGGTAGCTACTGTTACAGTCGGGCAATAGCACTTCCTATCAAGGAAGGGGAAGATAAATTTGAGTGAACTGAAAAAAGGCGTGGTGAAGAGCAGAAAAACTGACCTTATAGAAGGAATTCGGTGCAAGACTTCGAACTCTCATTGACCCCAATTGGAACCGATGTGACCCAGAGTCGTCCCTCTTATGAGTTCTAGCATACAGGAAGCCTCTTAACTCCACATCAGCCAGTCCAATTTGACCATCAGCTTCTGTCATGCGCCATAGGGCATGTTCAAAGCAGACCTCATCACGTCTCACTACGTCCGCTTCAATTTCATTAGCAGTAGTGGTAGCGTCGGTGGATTGAGAGTCTATGGTGGCTCCTTTGCCTGAAGTTCCTGATATGGTGGAGGGAGATGGAGTGCCTGCAGACGAACTGGGGACGCCATTTAATTGTTGTGAAACCATGAAATTTGATGGCAACACGAGAGATCGAGTCGAAAGTCCGTCTTCAGAAGGAACTATTTAGAAAAATGGAAAGCTTAATTGCATTCTCCTGTTATATGTCTACCGATAGCCACACCTTGGAAATTCTCATGATCTACAACACTGGTTTTATAAAAATAAAGAATGCCTTCATTTCTCGCAGTCATAACGAAGATTTATTCAATACGAATTGCATGCACTACATCGTAACTAATGTTAGCTCATACCGAAAAGATGTAAAGGCTATTTGTAAAGTTAAGAATAATGCGATGAAAACAAAACATTATTAAATGCGTCAATGGAAAATATTCGACCGCTTCTCATAATCATATCACCATAACACCTCTTTTAAAATAGTGTCTTTACGGTAGAATTTCTTCCAATTTATTTGAAATCATTCGGTTTGTTCCGTATTCCCTCATGAGAAGTATTGAGATAATAGATACAGATTCTGCTCGTTTATTCTCATTAGCAATTCTACCAAAGACTTCCTGTCGGGTTATTGATTAGCAGCTTTCCTGAAGTCCAGAAATAACGCCATTCGGCTTTTTAACCATTGATCTCTCTCTCTCTTCCTCTTCACAAACCTGTCCTTTTCTCCCCCTATGCTTTTCGGAGATTTCGCTCCTCAAACCCGGAACGGAATACAAGACTCATTTTGGGTTCAACCCTTTAAAGACCGAAAAATGTACCCAACAGCACTCACGCGTGTTTCACGGCCGACTGATGACAACGTGATGAATTTAAGCGGTATTAAGCTATAAGGGTATTGAACAAGTTTCAAACGGCAAAAACGCCTTCTGCTAAGAGTCTATTTTGAAAGAGGACCGTACGACTCAAAGGGTGTTAAGGGAGAATACAATTTCGATTCATTGACAATGTCAGAGTCTAGTTTCGAACACAATTTCCTTTCAATCCACATGTTCGTGGGGAGTCTACTGTAAATTTCTACTCCATTTCATATTCTTATTCGAGCTGTTTATTGGTTCTCTTACATGACTGGCCATTAAGTCAACTTACTAGCTGGCATTCTCCTTTCTGAAAGATGATTTACTTCGACACAAACTCTCTTTCATCTCACAAGTTGCAAATGTGTCATTTGTAAGCACACAGTCGAGCAAAATATATATATATATATATATGATTACAAAGAGCGAAAAACAATTGCACTAAAATTCGATTCGAATAATTGAGTTCACCCGATTTCTGACTAACCACTTAAAAACATTCGACTTCTGAAATGCGTCTTTAAAGTGGTAGAAAATTTGGTGAGTTAAAAGGTAGTGTTGGTTTATACTCATCAAACTCTTTGCTAAAAGGCATTTAAAACACTTCCGAAGTTAAAAAGCTTTTTTACCAAATAAATAGGAGAGAATTGAACCTTTTCAACAAAACTGAAGTTCCAAAATTGGTCTTGTATGAATTTCACATTTGAAAACCAAGTTTAAGCTAAGCTTGGTAATAGCAATCTAGCTTCATCATTCTAGGATATAAGCAAGAACGTTTTGCAAAAAATTCTCATTAAATTCAAACTATATTCATTAGCTTGTGGAGCAAATTGTTCCGCAGAATAAGGAAAACAATGTCTGGCTTATTTTGAGAGATCCACCTGTTTTTTTCTAGAATCACTTCATTTTTTCAATATGCCTTCAAAGTATTTGCTATTCATTGACACTTTCTTGAGTTCTTTTCACAATTTTGTTGCCAACACGTACGAACTACAACACCCCGCTTTCTCAAGCGCGAGAAAGGAAAGGCACAAATTCAAATTTTATAGCGAAAACATATTAAAATTCAATTCAACTATAAAAATGATATCGTGTAAGATTTTTGTATATATTTAATAATATGCATTATTTCAACATTAATACTATAAAAATATGAAAAGAATTCATCAAGTGAAATTAGTTAACAATTTTTCAACATAATACTTTCAAGATGAGAAACATAATAAAGCAAGCATGTCTGAACTAAAGCTATTCGTTGATACTACTCAAAATTATTCAAAGAAGCGTTTATAACACTTGACTCAGATAGAGAGTAAAGCCAACTTGTACCCGCTGTTACCACGATTTCAAATTCTTTACCATCTCTCTGGTTGTCCAGAGTTAAACAATTCGTGTGATCACCCATACCGCTGAGTTAGAACGGATGAACATTGTCTACTTATAATGCTAGCGAACATATGTACCTCCAATAAAAATTGTCATTCCACAACCTACCATTGGGAATCTGTTCCTTCTTTAGTCTGATATTACCACCAAGACTTGCAGAATCCACCGGAGGATTAGCCAACCCGAAGTTCTGCGCACCATTTTCCAGCCTCTGAGATTGCACATGAACTTTCTGGAAATGTGCAATGCTCTGTGACAGCAGAGCGTTCTTCTCTACACTATTAGCCTTCATCTGATTAATCTTTTCTTCACACGCCCTGAAACACAAAAGAAGCATTAGTAATAATAAAGCAATTTTGCAATAAGATATATCAGGAAGAATATTATACAAGATTTGTTCAGCCTGAGCGGCCATAGCTGGTGCCATTCGAATAGAATTTATGGAGTCAATGTAAGCAGATAAACCAGCCCGTGATGCAGTAGGTTGATGAAAAATTAATGGATCAGTAGCATTGCTGTTGGCTGTTGTACCAGAAGCGCCAGCTGCACGGAGATTTTGATCAAATTGACGGAGAGCAGTCCATAACTCCCTCTCCTGAACACGAATGGCGTTTACCATGCTACGGAGGGTTTCTTGGTCACGAAGAATAGCCTGGCGTAGTTCACGTTCACCCAGAAGGCTCAGGCCAACTCGGTTCCGCTCAAACCGTTCCTATTTAACGGAAAGTGGGATATATCTGCATTATCGATCCGATTCTATGATAAGTGTTAACCTTGTGTACTATCCATTGATCATCGACACACATAGAATAAAATCCTCTATAATATGGTATAGATTTGGTCAATTTTACAGATTGAATAGTAGTCAGGGCGAAACTCTAAGAGAGGAACTTGATTCCAAAGAGGTTATACTCCTCAAAGGTTTCAGTGGTAGCGTTAGAAATTACAGCATTTTCTAACCCTCTGGATCAAACACTAAGAGATCATATAGAATAAAAGGTTTTGGGTCATAAAATGCCATTCCCATACATGTTTTATCCAGTACTGTTATCATCCAACGATTTTAAAAAAAATTAAAGCAGAGTACTGAGAACATGTCGGCTTGGAGGATTGGATATTCGTTTGAATAGTTTCATCGAAACCTAAGACATGATCAACCTAGCATTTTTACATGCGAAATCAAGATGATATTCAACTAGAAGCTAAAGCGCTAAAATGATGCTAAAAATAAGAACCTAGTAAGTGACAACCATTTCAATAGCTAACATTTGAGTACAGAAATTTTGTACATACCTTTTGCTGAGGTTCAACGTAGAGTAGAAGGTTACTGACGATGTCGAAGACCATACTGTATTGCAGCTAAAGCAAAACTTGAGGGTAAATAAAAAGTTGTTCATGATTCAGCTAAGACATAAAAAATAGTCTCACCGAATTTGTGCAAAGATCGAGGGTTCTGTGAAGAAGAGTAAAAGTATCAGCGCCTTCTTGACTTTGTAGAATCTTTGAACTGTTATCAGTAGGTGGCTATAAGAAGGGGAAACCATTAAGTAAAATACCATTTGTAATATCAAATCATTAATTATAAACTTTGATGACTACTTACAAGAGGTGGAACGAATTGACCAGGTGGTAAGCTATTCGGATCCAATGGTGAATAAGTAACATAGACAAACTGACAAGCACATCTAGAAACCATCCTCTGCAGCTGGATAGTCCCATTAGGCGACAAAGAATTAGATGGAGAGGCTCCACTAACCACTCCACCCACCGCATGCCCTGAACCGACAACCTCCGGCTTTCCAGATAGGGCATCTTGTCCGAATTCTGTACCAAGTCGCATCCAGTCGCGAACATCTGCAGTAGAGAGCCATTGATCGAGAGTTGTGGCCTCCAGCTGTGAATTAATACGCTTTTAAACAGCGAATTCTTGTGAGTAATGGGTAGCTCGCTACAATTAACTTACTCTTCCTACAGTGGCGTAATACTGCATGCACTCCATGTTTCCAATAAGGCTAGATTTGGAAAGAAGATGGGCGTCACGCCATACCGGAGGATGGTTGACAGAATCCAAACGAGCCTTTGCAGATGACACGATGACATAACCACCAGATCCTTCAACAGGCTTCAGCATAACCTTAAGAACGAAGTAGTAAATTGAGAAATGATTCATTTTAATGTAAGTAGACTGAAATGTTACAACATTATTGATGATCTACCATTCTGAACATAATTCGATGAAAAAAAACGTGCTATCCTTTGTTAACCAGTAAAAGAAATGCTTATTATTAGTTCGAACCAGTGTGGTCTGATGAGCCAAATGCGCATAGCGTATACAAAGGTAATTCAAATGCTAACTCACTTGACAATTGATGAGCTCAATATGCCACTGACGAGACAACACAGGAGTTGAAGTACAAAGAGAGAGGCCTTGGAGTTGGTCCATTACGTCCGGTTGCTTTGGCTCCTATTTAAAAAAACATTTAAATGACTAATCTGCTGAAATGAAAAGTAGATAAAATCACTACTTACTTCTTCGCAGTAGGCGTAAAATTTAGCAGTTTCCGCTTCCTTAACTAGGCGAGCCAGCATGGGGACTTCCGGGAAAGTGCCAGCGTTTACTACCGACGAAGTCTGAGAATTTTCGCCAGTTTTGCCATCATCCTCTTCAGTTATAGTGCCTGCGTCGACACCTGTGGAAGACTTTGACAGACCTGCAATCTGTTCTTGTGACGAAGCAGGGGCTTCATCACCAGCATTTTGAGTAAGTTCGTTTTGTTGTGGAATACTAAAAATGAAAAAAATGCAATGTTAGCAATAGAGAATTGGATAAAAAAGCTCGAAAGTGCAAAATTGGATGCTTGACTCTTCACCCATATTAGAATACGAGCGGATGTGACAAGAATAACAGCTTGACAGTTATTCAGGATAAAAACAGCAATCAGTCCAACGGGGAGTTGATGTACGATGTCAACTGTAACCTAGACATACCTAGTCAGCAAAAAGATCACAACGGCAGAAGCAACAGCTGGTATTAAAAGTAAAGCATCGTAGAAGACCATTAAAATTTAAAAGATAGAAACAGAAATTTAGAGTTAACAGAAGTATACGATTGATGAAATCATCAGACCATTTCATTTAGCTGACAAGTATAAATTATTCATATATTCCCAATATTCCACTAATCAATTTCTCAGAATTTCAGTTTATAGAAAAGTATAGGTTTAGTATGTATCTGTTCTCTCGGGTATGGTAGAATAAATATCAAACTAGAGTCTAGATTAAGCTATAAGAACAAATCTAACAAGCAAAAACCTGGATGGTTTTAATAAAGGCCTACAATTTAACGCTTATTTCGAGGTTCATGAAAGTTAATTGAGCCTAATTAATATGATTATCTGGCTCCAAAATAACAATCCTGGGTCCAGCGAAGTGTTAATAGCATATAACTTGGTTTGGAAAGAGATAAACTAGAGCCTCATTGCTGAGAAATTTACATTTTTCACCGTCCAAAGCTATTCACCATTTACATCACTACATGTCCCGGATGTGTATCGATTTCGCGTTTGCTGAATTGACAAAACTGCACATTAACTAGTGTACCATCGATGCTCTTTGTGTGACCCCAAATAGAGACTTCAAGTTTATTATTTAGGGTTCGCTAATAACCTAACTTAATCCCAATGTAGGATCATCAATGTTTTATAGCAAGTAATTATCAATCTAATAAGCATGCATAAATGCTCTTAATCTTTCAGTGTGGGGACCTATCGACTGATGCTATTTGGTACAACAGGAGATACATTCGCAAACTTGCAATCACTTAATCCGAAATTTTTATAATACATCGAGAAGTTTAGCCATTTTTGTTCAAATTAATTTATGAAATTCAACCTCTTAGGCATATAAGGGGCTTAAATTTGAAATATTACAAGGAAATTCTTGAAAAATCGGCACTTGGATATTTGAAGCAATCATAGAAAAAAAAATACAGAAGATATAGATCACGAGTGCTCTAGAAAAAACCTTCCATTCGATAATTTATAATCCAGACCCATAATTTGAATAGGCATTAAGAAGAATTAGCTAAGGTTAACAGTCATTAAAACATCTATCTTTACGATAATTAGGCATTCCACCGCAACGACGCTTTCATAAGTGCATATGAAACATAGAAAGGGTTAGAAGAAACACAAGAAGAGAGGGGGAGTTTATATTTCTGCAACTGACCCGCTTACATCCCAATGGGCCAATAAAGCTGGCAGTTCTGTTTATGGCAAATTCAGAGATCAACTTTGTAACTGTCTAAATATCGCTACTTTGGCATAATCTAACATTAGCATGACTTTAATACCTATGGTAATGCGATAAACTTCGTAATTGTGAAAAAGGGAAGTTCTAGAATGCTATCACTTAATATTCCCTAGTACTTAAACCACTTTTTATTCTTAAATAATAAAAGCATTAGAAATTGAAAAATTGAGAAAAGTTATCTTACGCCGAGTTAGTTGTAATATCCAGAGAGATGGCTTTAAGGGCCTGAGCAGAGAGATTCTTTTTCAGCGTCTGCGCATGCTTATACATATTCATCATGCTGTACACTAAATTCCGATTCGTCTCATTCCATCGCATCTTCGGATTTTCCACTGTTACGTGATGCACTGGTTCAAGCTAGCATGGATAGAAACAATGAAGACAAACATGAGAAAGGAACTAAATGCGTTTTTAAACCTCCAGGCACATAGTTATCTAAAAAGTGAAGTACGCTATGCTAATAAGAACACTAGGAGGTCAATCATATATAATGAAAGTAGAGTAGACACGTAGGAGGCCTGAACCTCAAATGTGTTTAACCACAAGGTTTCGTGCTACTTTGGAGGTGAGTGGTCATTGTGGTAAGAAAGTCGCCTTCTCTTCCCTTTGTATCCGACAGTGGTCAGACACTCATTGGCCTATACGCTACCTTTTTCCCAATTTGCCTCATCTTTATTACGTTCATTGATTAATTATTATGGAGACAACGCTTTCACATAGGAGTTGAACTAAAACTCACATCCTCGTGGGAGAGTTGGAACTTGGTTGCATGACGTCTTTCAGGGGAGGCTGAAGAAGACTCCTCGTGAATTGAGCTCTTGGTTTCATCTATCTCCACATTTCCGCAATCATTTTCACGGTCTTCATTGAAATTTTCCAGTCCGGGAATTCGAACTTTCACCAACTGCTGTGGTAGCTCAGAGGGATTTCGGAGTTCTCGTTTAAAGCGAATGGAAGAGAAAATCAACAACTCTGAATTGGGAGAGAAGGAATGAGGACTTCCTTCCAGTTCGGAAGTGCTCTGGAAGAAAGAGATAATTAATTAATCTAATATAATATAAATTATCACTGTATATGTTGTTCTTTAGTAATGCTAAGTCTTTATTTGCCAAAATGGTATAGAAGTATGAGAGGGGTTAGAAGTAAATTAATGGTAGCTAACCTAAATCAAGAATCAGCTAATTGGTAAGAAACGCTCTTAGGATAGCCCCCCCCCCCCCCCCCAACAACCAAAGAAATTGAAGCGCTGGTCACTGACCATTGAAAATATATGCAAATAAAAGTAAAATAGAGAATAGACGTAACTAATTCAAATTCGATTCAAATGATAAAGAATCAACAGTTCTTTCCTTGTTCACATTTCAAATCTAAATTTATTATTTGGCATTGGCCCTAGTTTACATTATCCAAGTAGTCTACATAACCATATTCTAAATTTGGATAATTTTAATAAACATCAGGTCTTATCGATTAATTTGATCGTTAGTTGGAACCAACCCTTCAGTAGATGACCCTGAATATAGGAAACCTAAACTCATACAGTCATCTTGAGGTCGGGTTTCAAAACATGAATTTTGGATTATTCGAATAAGGTGGTGCGAACTAAATCCCTTAACAACTTGACAACCTGATAAATACAGATAACAGATGACTTATAACACTTTGGGAATTCAAGCTTTGTTCTTTACTTCCACTCGTCTAATTTGCGTTTTAGCTAGCCTTGATGTTCCAGTCAAGATGTTTTTCCATTGAACAACAATGCACTTCTGTTCTTTTCTATCTATTTGACAAAACAAAAGATTCAATCTCCCTAACTACTAATATACTAAAGCATATATATTAAAATCGCATGCCAACTAGGAGATTTTAAAGTAATTTTGATAGCAAAACTTACACTTTCGGCTTCAGAGATGAGGTGTAGGGCAGTACGATCAGGTTGATGCAACAACCAGGCTTTTCCATTCAGTAAACGAGCATCCACAAGACGAAGACTCCACTGGGGAGAAATACGTCTGCGTAAATTTCGAGGTGGAAGGACGAAAACAACTGCATTTGTGGAGGTTCTTGCCTCCCTTTCACCTTCAACATGAACACCGAAAACACATCTGAGATCCAAAGGTCCACTACATGCATGAATTCCCAGACGTTTTGTATATGAAACCCAGTAAGTAACTTCTAAACAAGGAACTCGGAAGGACAATTCAAGCGATCTGAAAGTAAAGAGTGAGGTTAGATTATCTTTTAATTCAAACAGAAGAAAAAAATCGTCTCTAACTGACTGAATCAACTGTCCAAAAAGAGGTTTGCGCGGAAGAAAACGCTTAAAGACAGCACCACGACGAATAGGTCGTGATATCCTTGACATACAACTTTTGAGACGATCAACTAGTTTAATTAGATTGGTATAGATGAAGCATCGTGGAGGCTGACTATTGGTTACTTCGTTCACACTGAATGACATGCCCAAAAGAAGTCTGTTTCCACGGAATGCTGTATAGGAATCGCGAGGCTGAAAGAAAGCACGAATTGACCAAATCGAAAAAAATTGAATTTCAGAAATAAAATTAAATATGAAAAGCTCACAAAATCTTCGGGTTTAAGTTTTTCTCGATTGACAATGACCACAGAGTGATGATCAAACTGGTCTCCGAAAGACAACCAGTCCATGGAAACTCTGAAGAGGAGTACGACAATGTGAATGAAAATAAATCAACGGCAACACTAATAGGTAAAGCAGGACTTACTCAAAATTAAGACCAGGTATTTGAAGAACGTGACAGACTCCATCATATTTCGATGCGGTCTCAAAGAAGAGATTAAAATCGCCGTGGATGAAAATACGACCTAAGTTGATAAGAATGTACAAGGTAAAACCGCTTGAAAATAGTTAAACTGTCATAAATAATAAATCGATCAAAATAAGTATCATAGTGTAGTTATTTTTTGGCAAATTCCTTCATGGCTGTTTTGACTAAGACTTCAATTCAGTGTTCAGTTTTACCCCTTCATTGCATTTGGAAACCTCACTATGTCTCACAAATTTTATTGATGCAAATAGTAATAAAGCACGCTAATGCATTTATTCAAGTTCTTAAGGTAACGTGTTGTGACCTGAATCCTTATAAATTATTCAAACCTATTAGGAATCGGGGCAAAGCACTTGCTTTATCGGAAACGAGCCACTTACATAAAATGTTCACTACTGTCCCAATTGTTGGTAGGACCTAGCCAGTGGGGTTGACCACCAACGTCAATGAATATGCACCAGTGAAGACTTACTAAGTGACTTCAATTTACGCAGACACACACGTTAAATGTTTGGCGCATTAATCTAGACTGGTGCCAAGGATACATGTAAAGACTGCTATACCAACTATTAACTGTACACACAGTCTATAACGATTCCTCTTCGAATGTAGTGAGGATCATCACAAACTGAAGATTTGAACCACTTCTGCATCCCTTGACTTTATTTTTCTCTCAAAATTCATCCATTTAGGAAGATTTACGTTGACATAACAAACGATCCTGAATTTCTTCCGAAAGCGTATCTTCGTCTTTCCAGTTTCAACGATGCTTAAAATTCACTGCCTGATTTGTGCGCTAATGCAGAAGCGTTTTAATTCATGCTTAATTTATTCATTTTACCACAGAAACAGCAACTTTTAAACAGAACGTATTAAGTTTAGATTTAGCTGCTAAATTCAGCATTAGAGAAGATGTAGAGTAAAAAATGCCTCCTTTTTTACAAAAGACCCCACCTTCTCCATGCACAAACTCGCCATGGAATAAAAAGAAGAATCGTGTACCTGGAATCCAATCAAACGAGCAGGTATTCCATTGGCAAGTGAGGAATTCCCTAGCATTATATGGATCCAAACTTGTGGAGTAAAGCCAGGAAAATTTTCCACACGTGAATCCCAGACGCCCATGGAGATTAAGTCGAACCTTATCCCACCAACCAAGTGGAGGAATTGAAGGATCTACAGAAGCTCGCTTTATATCATCAACACGCAGGTTCAACCAAGCAATGGTTGATTCCCAGTTAGAGCCGTAACACAGCGAGAGGTCCTTCACATCTGCGGAAAATAGAGAATGGGGTTTTTTACTTATCAAGATAACCCTGATTGAGATTCATTTATAAGAGTGATATCTTACTAGCCATTAATTCGTAGTAGAATTTCGTGGGTTGGACAAATCGAGTGACTGGAACGTTGGCTGGTTTCCATGGCGGTCCCAAATCCACACAACAGTCGCGTTGACATCTTGGATCATCCGAACGTCCTGTTGCCATGGCAAATGGACCTGTTATAGTTACCTCAGTAGCATCAATGAGATTCTTCGTGTAATCTCGAAGTTGCCATTGGAAACGACCAAACGTCAGATGGATATGACGACAACATAATTGACTGAAATCTGAAGGTTGAGGATCATTCCAGGGGCTAAAAGGAATGAAGAGAAAAAATTCGAAATACAATTATGATCTGAGGCATTGATTAGCATGTTACACCAGTAACAAATGCTAGCTCACTAGAAACAAGGTAAAATGCTAAAATAACCACGTGCTGCATGGCGTATATCCACAACAATAAACAGCTATCAAATTAACTTATAGAAGACTACTAGAGCTTAATTTTTAACTATTCTAAGATGCTTTTAATGTCCAATAACTCAATTTGACTGTATTCTCCCAGGAGAGTATGAATGGTAATTCATGAAGATAAAAGGTACTAGATATAATCTTTTTTTCTTATCCAGGATATAAGACAGAAGCCTTTGGTAAACATTGACCTGACAAGACATCATTAACATCGAGAAACAGCCTAAATTTTACATCGATTGATTTAAAAAATCAACGAGGCAACTTAAAAGTAGTCTATTTGTACCAAGGGGGAATAATAAGCTTGTGCAAAAAAGGTCTTGATTAGCTAGATTTCAAGATACGTCTGCATGTGATAAATCTGGAAGATTCAAGCAGTCAGAATTCAAGCGATGAAGATGAAATGGGCCAGATTAATTCATTCAAGTATATTTTAGACTCAAGCCTCGAATATAGTTCATCAGATAGAAAAAGTTATTTGCCAACAAGGTCCTCAAAACACATCTGCTAATTATTAAATCGAATGTTTTATTAAACGCGTGGTGGAAATAGATATTAAGGTTATAACGACTTACCTAACATCATCCATCCGTCTGATTTCAGTAATGACCTTCTCTGGAGAACTATAAGTCTCGTCAGAAAGGACATGCATACAAAAAGATTCCATGCTCCACGTAAAGAGATCATCAGCCATCTTGTAGCCTGAGTAGAATCGCCTGATACGAGCAATATACTCGAGAGCTCTTTGAAATTCCAGTTGTTGTAGACAGGCTTGTAGTTCTGCCGCTGCTGCAGCTGGAGAAATTGGTACCAATCGAGCCTGTCGATTGCGGTCAAGTTGAGCGGTCAGGGCAGCAACGCGTTTTTGCTGTTCAACGCTCTCATCCATGAGAACCTGAGATAAAGTACGAAAACAAATTTCATGAAGTTTTCAACTCGGTAGGAACATCATTGATACAAAATCTGGCCAACATGATTGAAGTCGTAGAAGACCTAGTTCAAATGTTGAAGCAACTAATGGAAATCGTATCCATTAAAAATTATTTATAGTCATATCAGTTTGATTTACAATATTGTGCATGAGGGCACCCCAACTTCATTAAAACAAAGAAATTTGAAACAACAAACGTCCTCTTTTTCAAAGGTTCTAAGAGTGAAGAAGTATCAACTGGAGCTCTGAGTATCAATACTGAATCGAAATAGTCGTGCAGACAGACGCGTATTGAATAAACCACGATGAGGAAACAAACGAATAAGAGAAAGTGTACAAACAAATATACGGCATGCGAGTGGATAAAACTGAAACTGTGTTGATTACCCGCACGCCTAGTCATCAAATACAATCAATGCTAAGCCATATCACACAAACTTGATCACTGATTGGTTAGGAAGTCTCTGTACACAGTTTCATATTTACTACAATGTCATAGCGATCACCTTGATAAACCTTAGTAGATTTGTACACTAAAAGCGTATTCTATCCTTAAGGAATCAGCCTTCAGTACTGACAAACCAATTATTCTTAAATTCCCAAATGCTGCACCAGTGAAACGTACACACCATGTGATCTAAATGACCCTCACAGACTAATTGAAAATTTTTCTCAGTAGAGAGGACAGTTTTTTTTTCATACCGCCAAACAAATTTGTCCACTTCATATGTTGGTACTGCTTAATGTTATTTGCTAGAGAAGATCAGCCTTACTCACTACTGATGTACCCGAAGGAAAGGAGACTATTTATAACCTTGTCTTTATTTACAATGACAATCCAAGATATTACGAAAGTATTGAGGAAGTGGGGAAAATTCGTTAGCTAACACGAAGATGGAAGGGTTTAAATAAAAAATCTTGGTCAACGATGGATAAATTCTACGCAGAAATGCTTGACTTCTGATCATGACATCACAAAATATTCGATACAATTTCCCACCAACTTAAAGTTCATGAGATCTTAACGCATTAGACCTATGCGATGAGGCTAATATCATCTCATACTAAAAATATAATGCCTTTAGTTTATTTTAGCAAGGATAGGCAAAATAAACGTGATTTATACAATAGCTGAAATAGTATTTACCATAAAATCATCACTGAGTTTGCATTCAAATGGATCGTCCTTGATTTCAAGAGTGAATTTCTAAAAAGTACGGCAAAAAACTTGTAATAAACAATTTTAAAGACTTATAACTGAAATCAAGTTGAACATTTAAAACATGTGATATTATACAATGATGATCCCTAATTACCTTAATGCGAATCACGACATCAGAAGATAAGCGGTTGGAAGGCCGAATAGGAATAATACCTGGTTGAATGTTCATTGCTTTGACTTCAGCGAAGTACGGAGAGCTCATGGACTTCACATATTTTATCGCTCGTCTAACATTGGAGAACTACGAGATAAGGAAGAAAAATACAGAAATTCCTGAGGCTATCTTAAACTGAAACTACTGTTATGCCTTAAGAAATTGGAAAAAAGAGTTCACAAATGTTAGTATATTTAAATGAATATTTAGGTTGCATTCGAGAGGAAGTCACCACCAACTCGCATCCATTGGATTTTCCATTACCAGAGTCACACGTTCAAATATTCAAGTTTATATACATTATTTTCTTATTAAGAAATTTAGTCTGAGCTATAAGTCGTACCTCTTCATTTTCTTTATTCTGAGTAATTGATACTTTAAAATGAAAAAAATGAAAAGGAGGTTCATGTAAGGAAAGTGAAATACGATATCGATTATATACCTACGCTCTAGCAATACCAGATAGATTATCCGAGAGACTAAAACAATGCCAAATAACCTACTGCTGACACCTTTGGAATTTTCCCACACCTAGGGTTAATTAACTGGCCATGTACAAGAACTTCACCCACAAACTAAGAGCGATCCCAATCCGTATTTGTGAGGCTTCTGTAAGGAGATCAGATAATTCTTGGACTTCAGGAGGGGGGGGGGGGACCGAACTCAGATGATCAGATTTCTCCATCTCCTATTCTAAATTAGAAACTTTTCATCTAAGTTCCCACTTGTTTAAGTAGTATAATGCATATTGGAAGACGATAAGTATTGAATAAAGGGATGAATAATCCTGTGGCTTGGTACTTAACAGGGCCTACTTCTTCTAGGTAAAAGAACACATAACGGCCAGCAAGTGATTTTCCATCACTAAGTTGTAGGTTGATACGATCTGTGCTCCAAATTACAGACGTTTAGAATTGGAATTGCTGGCAAACCCGGCACGAGAAAAGAAAAGTACGCGAATCAATCAGAAAAGGAAGAATATTTTAAACAATAGAAATTCTAACAGAGAAGAATGAAGATTAAATAAATAAACAGTAGTTAAGTTATTTTACTGTCCAACGAAACTCAAATTGTGGTGCATATGAAAGCATGCAAGTGCAAACTCTACATCATGCGCGCCGTAATTAATCATTGATCGTTACTACTCCCATTTAACTATGGAGTCCTGACTAACTAAAAATGTCCACTCGCCCGTTCGGTTCCACAAGCTATAGCAGCTTTTTGCCGTCCCTGCATAAATAAGAAATCTTAGTGTGAATGTTTTGAACTTGACATGTACTATTTTTAGACCGGAGTAACGTGGTCGCAGTAATACAACTTTTATAAGGTATCTAAAATTTGCGCTCATAAATTGCGTCCATCTTCTAGCAGTGTAAATCCTCAAGTGGTTCAAAGTGTACTTCGTAGTTTATTTTATTAATATCCGTTGAAAAGCAAATTGCCAAGACCCTACAACCGTACTTTAAGGTCACATGAACAAATAAAAGGATAAGAAGAAGGAACAAACTCCAAACCTATTTAAATCACGCTGCCATTGATGCTCCCCTCCCCCACTTCACAAATCTACTCAGTGAACAGGAAAAGAGTGTAGTATTTAAAATATGGATGAGCATATACTTTCCATATATTTTGAGTAGACCAAGGGACTCACCTCATCAAAGCACTTATAGAATTCGTAATGGAACGGGAACGTGAAACGCAGAGCCTCCATTTGAATGTCCCTGAAATGAAATTCAATATCTTTAAATATGCTGTCCCGTCCGTAATTATTTTTACTAATTTGAAAATATTTAAAACTCACAGGCAATTATTTTCCAGAGTAGTGAGTTGCAAAATTACTTTTCTGTGAGAGTCAGAGAAAGGAAGCTTTCGAAGAATCAAGTTCTGAAAGAGGAATAATTAGCTTGAGAGTAAGAAAATTAAAAAAAGACCGTTTTGCTTCATTACTCACTGATAGTAGCATTTAAAAAAAAAGAACGGGGTCAGACAAACGTGCGTTCAAGAGCTCTTCCCCC